CTTACCGTAACGACTCGTTTCTGATTACAAAATGCAGGTTTTTGCTATAACACTATTATGGTCGCTTACTATATATTTTTCATATTGTTTATATATTTTACATATTTAGTATGGATTCATCTCGACCTACATTGTCACAGTCAGCACCTAAAGTTAAAATTAAGTACTGCTTTGAATCAAAAGTTTAATCCCTGGTAATTGTGCTGCTGATATGTATTTTAAACCTGAATTTTAAATAAAGAAGTATTTGAATAAGAATAAAAATGATTGTTAAGATTGTGCTTCTTGAATCAAAACACGTGATCTGGTATTGTTTATAAACCAACGTAAATATTTTAGGAAGAACAGCTTTTGAGCTGTTTACACGCCTCTCTATCTTTTTACACAATAATTGTATCCTACCTGTGACTTACGTCACATCTGAAATAATATGGTTGCAAAAATCATCCACTTATAAACATGTTTTTGTTCCTTTTAAACAAAAGGCTGTAAAACTTTACTAATAACCTTCAACTGCCATATTAATCATTTGGTTTATTCAATTTATTACAATACCAGTGCTTTAACACTATGTCATGTAATGGAGATTAATAGAATGATTTTTAACGCTTAAAAGTGACCAGCGTTAACTTTGATAAATAATTCGACGACCCGAATGGCGTAGTGGGTAGTGTACCTGCCTTCTACACCAGAGGGTGTGGGTTCGATCCCCACTACTAGAAATATATTGTGTGAAAATGTTTTACCAGTGTCTGGGTATTGTTTATATATGGTGATATGTATTTATTTACAAAAGAAAAGTATGTTTAAGTATGTCTCAGTTTTCTAGTACCCATAGTACAAGCCTTGCTCAGTTTAGGACTAGAGAACGTTGAGTAAAAATGTGTCCTAAAATATTTATTTATTAATTACAATAAAAATAATCGCTTTATCCCGTATAAATAATAGTACCCGGAGGACCGAGCTTTGCTCGGTTTGTTTATTTTTTTGGTAAATCGTGTATTTTGGAAATTACATTTAGATACAAATTACTGAGTAATGAAATATGCATAATATTTTTCGATCTTACCGACTTAATAATAAGAACATATGAACTGATGTTTTTTTCAAAAGAAAGAACTTTTAAAAAAAGGGAATAAAAATAACAAAAAAAGAAATCGATAAAAAAATTAAAAATAAAGAAATCAATGATCTGGAATCGAAAAAAGAGTAAAAAAATAAATGTGTAAATGATGGTGACGCGAACCACGGCCTTCTGTTTTGGAGCCGCCCGATTACCGGCCGAGCTATTATGACATTTTCTCTTGCGGCGAAATTTACCGTCATATTCGAATAATATTTTTCATTCCCTGAAAACAGGGATAAAAGGACATTTTCTGAAAATGAAACCTAGCTAGATCGATTTTTCGCCCCCAAATCTACGCATATACTAAAATTTATGAAAATCGCTGGAGCCGTTTCCGAGATTCCGATTATCTCTTATCCTTTAAACGAGCAATTCTTGTATATATATATATATATATATATATATACAGCGTGTCGTTACCATCGCGACAATAAATGAACACACGTCTAACGCTACTTGCCAATAATCATAAAAAAATATTAACGTTAAACAAAATACATAATTAAAAAAAAATATTTTTCAAACAAACTAATTAACTAAAAAAGAAAGAAAATTTGTAACATCCTATACAACTCGCGCCACAGCGTCGTATTACAAGCCTCTCCTTCTAACAGTATGTTTTGTCTCTTTTAAATTCATTCAACCGATTCATATGCTTTGTGACCTTCACAAATGAACTTTACGTTACGCTTTTATAGGTAAGGGTGTTCTAAAATTCTTTGTTTTGGAATATTTAATAACTCTGTAAATATTGATGTTTAAAGAATTTAAATGTTTAATACAACTTTAAAAAGTTATCCCCTATATGTGTGTTATACAGCGTTACCATCACGACACGCTGTATAATCGGAATCTCGGAAACGGCTCCAGCGATTTTCATGAAATTTAGTATGTGCATAGATTCCGGGGCGAAAAATCGATCTAGCTAGGTTTCATTTTTAGAAAATGTCCTTTTATCCCTGTTTTCAGGGAGTGAAAAATATAATTCGAATATGACGGTAAATTTCGCCGCAAGAGAAAATGTCATAATAGCTCGGTCGGTAATCGGGCGGCCCCAAAACAGACGGCCGTGGTTCGCGTCACGATCATTTACACATTCATTTTTTTACTTTTTTTTCGATTCCAGATCATTGATTTCTTTATTTTTAATTTTTTTATCGATTTCTTTTTTTGTTATTTTTTTCCCTTTTTTTTAAAGTTCTTTCTATTGTGAAAAACATCAGTTCATATTTTCTTATTATTATGTCGGTAAGATCGAAAAATATTATGCATATTTCATTACTCAGTAATTTGTATCTAAATGTAATTTCCAAAATACACGATTTACCAAAAAAAAAAACAAACCGAGCAAAGCTCGGTCCTCCGGGTACTATATATATATATATATATACAAGAATTGCTCATTTAAAGGATAAGATTATATATATTGGTATCACAATGATATGTAAGGAGCATTAAGAGATGGATATTATTTATAGTAATTCAAAATATTCGTATATCCTTAAAGCAGACGTTACGATACGGCAATAATTGTTTTATTTCAGTTACAGTAAACAATGTGGCATACATTAGAAAATCGACGGATCTTTATCAGAATACATTGTATCCTCCGAGCAAATTTGTGTATGCCTTCGCTGTCTAAATATATTAACTGATAAAAGACAATCCGTTAGTAAACACTAGATGAAAAAGATAATGACGTCACACCAATGTTTTTAAATAAATCATTAATTTCTCAGCTACGACAGTATTCCTTTTTTTTATAAAATCATAACTCTTTTGAGATAAAATAGTCCCAGTTAATCGTTGAACTTAAAATTCTACTAGGTGACTTTGACTTTGACTTTGTACTAACTAGAACAAAGAAGGAGGTATCAGCGCATGGCGGAGCCAATGCAATCTGCTGTATTTCACATATCTTTATGCTTGCACAATGCTTTCTTTAATATTTATAATACACATAATTTTCAAGGCGTTTTTTTTTTCATATAATTATCAATCATCAAGTTATCAGCTTTTAAAATTGTAATTTGCACATATACATACACACATTTATACTATACAATTATGTAATGACATAATTGTATAGTATAAAATTTAATGCATAATAGTACAATTTTATCCTATTGGTACTAACACAAGTAAGGAGAAAATAAAATGTTAAAGCTTTCTGGAATGCGAGTGGTGTGGATTGTCACAATCACAACACTAAAGAGTATGAGTAAAAATTTATTTGGGATTATAATAAAATTAAAATTGAAGATTAAGTATAAAGTATTTATATACCAAACTGTTATAGGGTTTAAAAGCAACTTAGATCAATCCAGTACATAGCTATGGCGAAGGGCGAGCTAGTTAATATAAAATAACAATGCTACAGGAATGCTTGCAAGGGTTGGGCATAGCAGTCGTAAAACCAGCGAACCTTTTTCGCAAAATGATTTATCATAAAACCTTATAATTTGAGATTACACACATTTCGGTATCACGTCACCTTATGTCATTTTTACGGCACTAATTCTGCATTCTTGTGTGCGTGAATACATAATTAAATGGTGTCAGCGGTATTTGCATACATGTATGCTATGCTAACTTATAACAGTTAACCAATACTACTAAACCATATTAATATATCTTTGCTATATGTTTAAAATTAGTTAAGGAATGGGTGTTAAAAAATAAATTCCTTTTTAAAATTTAAATTAAGGTAATTATATTTTAAAATACACGCTCTGGCGCAGGAGGCAGGTACACTACCCACTACGCCATTCGGGTCGTCATACAACAGACAGAATAAATAAAATAGAAACTGCTACTATAAACGACAACAACTAAAACCACTGCTTCAAAGAAGAACAGTGTTAAGTGCAAGTATTGTACTTTCGCGTGTCGTGTGGTGAGGTAACTGGAGCTCACTTTTCAAATAGCGGCAACGCTTCTGCAACCCCTCAGGTGTTCTTGGGTAGCGGTAAACACTTGCCAGCTGCCGCTCCGATTACATATTTGACAATATTTTATTTTCTGAAAATTCTTCTATCAAACGGATCTTTAAAATGTTCCCGCTATGAAAAAATATTCTTAATATAACTAATTTACAATTACAACAACCAAATTGATCAAAAGAAAATCCATTCAACAAACACTAAAGCAAATAAAAAATAGAGAATGACGTCACAAACAAGTAAATCATTTATTTATCAGTTACGACATTTTGAAACTGTGTATTCATGAAACCTACCCATAACCCTCATTAAAGTGAAATAATGTTCTAATCATTCATTTCAATTTTGTAAATCATTCTTACAAGGGTCATATTTTTTGTTTAGAAAACAGAAACACGGAAAATGTATTTTATATAAACCTATATCATCATGACTTGCATTCAAAATTTTACATTCGCACTGACTTCCAAGCGTAACGGACTCGCATTAGAATACAAACCTAATTATTTTTAGTTGAAATTATATTAATATAACACCTTCAGAAGCGTTATTTCTTCTTCCTTGTTCTATACTGAACCTTACCTTATTAAAACTCCTGACATATCTTTGAACTTTTTGTTATTATTTCTATAATATGCAGGTTTCCTCACGATGTGTTCCTTCACCACTGAGCACGTAAAAAATCAGGACATAGAATTAACAATTTCATTGGTGCTAGCACTGAGAATCGAACTCGGGTTGCCTGTTTTTATTGAATTGAAAGCGAGCACATGTGGCGTACCATTTAAATAGGTTCTACGGACGCTACTCCCTAGTAAATTTCTTTTATGTAAAAGATTTTATTTCACATTATAACAATTCAGTAATTTGACGTTATCTCCAATAATAGGATATTCAACGGTGGTAGGGCCACGCAACAGCCTCTTGCACGAATGGGCAGACCAATCCGGGTAAGTACCATACCTCACAGAAGACCAGCGTAAAGTGGAAGTATGACAAATACTTTCGCGTTTTGTAGCCGGAGCCCAATTTTCAAAAGGTTATCAACGCATCTGTAACTCTTGGGTGGCGGTATTCACTTAATATCAGGTGAACCGTCTGCTCGTTTGGCAACTTTACACATAAAAAAAATAGTACATAAATAATATACATAGTGAACACTGGCAACCCATTGCGTATATGACGTTGTTTCAAGAAATATTTTTAGGAAATTGAATTAATATGACACAAACCGCAACCATTTTTAATTTCAAAAACCGCCCAAGTGCGAGTCGGACCCGCGCACAAAGGATTCCGTTACCTATCTATAAAATCTGCAAAAAATATCATGTCTGTTGTACGGGAGACCAACTTAAATATTTTTTTATTCTGTATATTAATAGTTTTTAGTATTTGTAGTTATAGCAGCAACAGAAATACATCATCAGTGAAAATTTCAACTGTCTAATTATCACGGCCCATGAGATACAGGCTGGTGACAGATGGACTGACAGACAAACAGACATACAGACAGACAGACAGACAGACAGACAAACACATACATAGACAGACATAGGAGTATTGGTAATAGGGTCCCGTTTTGGGGTACGGAAAGTCCAAAAAGGTAGAATTCTGTGCCTTCTTTTTTTTTGTTGGTTTTTATTCAGATTGCCTTGCATGAAAAGTCCGATTTAACAATTTTTGATACAGAATACGTGTTTATACAGCGTGTCGTTACCATCGCGACAATAAATGAACACACGTCTAACGCTACTTGCCAATAATCATAAAAAATATTAACGTTAAACAAAATCCATAATTAAAAAATAATATTTTTTAAACAAAGTAATTAAGTAAAAAAGAAACAAAATTTGTAACATCCTATACAACTCGCGCTACAGCGTCGCATTACAAGCCTCTCCTTCTAACAGTATGTTTTGTCTCTTTTAAATTCATTCAACCCATTCATATGCTTTGTGACCTTTAGAAATGAACTTTACGTTACGCTTTTATAGGTAAGGGTGTTCTAAAATTCTTTGTTTTGGAAAATTTAATAACTCTGTAAATATTGATGTTTAAAGAATTTAAAATGTTTAATACAACTTTAAAAAGTTATCCCCTATATGTGTGTTCATTTATTGTCGCGATTGTAACGACACGCTGTATATAAAAATACGAGCTATTTGAATAAATTAATTTTCATGTACCTATCTGAAACAGTGTATCTGAAACAAACTTCGACATGCCGGACTGGAAAAATAGATGTGGCTCAATTCATGCTCTTATAAACAAAGCTTTTTTTTACCAACCACAATCTCAATAAAGAGTTACCAGAACGAAATAGATGAGTGGCTAGATGAGTGGCTCCGCGGTCGATCATTATACTCTTTTCCCCGGAAAAGCAACGAACTACTTTCAAATCCGTGATTAAATAGTAAGTATACATGTTTTCGCGTATTATTTGCTGCTGGATCGACTTTGTTGACTTTCGCGAGGCCTGTCGTGATATATAGAATGGCACGGCGTGCCAACGCTCACACTCCTAGAGTGTTACCTCCAGTGACGACCTCTAGTGTTAAGTTCATCTCATCATCTACATTTGTTCATAGCCACACTAGTGGCTGAACTATCACACTACATCAGGAAGAGCAGAAGAGGCACATTAGACCGTCAAGTGAGTTCTCAGAATTGAGTAATATTTTTAATATACATTAATATAACATTTCATACAGTGTGTCGCTATCAAAAACTTAAGGCTTTCTTTTGTAGTGTCGTTTATAAAAAAAATTGTGTTTAAAAAGGGCATGCCTATTAATTTCCTAAATACACCATACCCCCTTACATATATTTTTAAAGTGGCAACGATAATTGAATCATCACGAGCACATCTCGTTAGACCTCCGTCCCAGATGTCCACCGGTTAGCACGGGCATTAGTCATCTCAGTACAAATTTATGCGAATTTTCTATGGATCACGTTCAAAAATATTCCATAGCTTGCATTATCCCACTCGGAGATCCTACCGCAAATTTCACCAAATGGCTGTAGTGCAGCATCCCACGTATTTCACTTCATTGTCCCATTTTAGCAAGTGATCGTCATTTATTAGTGGCCATTATTCCATTGCGGAGAGGATTCGTGTGGCAATGCCTACTGCACGCATAGTTTAGATGATACTTACGGTACGTTTGATTTTTTCAACACTCTTTAAATATTAAGTCGTCAGTAATATATGATAAAACTCTTTGTGTAGAAGTAAATTGTCGGTTTTCAAAGAAATCTGAACAAATAACAAACAATTGATAACCAAACCGGAGCAAGAAAGTAGTAAGAATGTTTACCATAATTAATGTCACTTACTATACTTGAGGAAAATTGCAATTTACTTAGCGATGACAATGTTTTCACCGATTTAATTTTTGATCATATTTTACTTTTATTTATTCATTAAATTGAAATGCACAAACAAACACTGAACTGATTTGAATTTTACAAAATATATTATTTTGATTATGTCTCAAAAGAAGATATTTTCCAATGACGGAAATATTTAGATCAGGACATACTTTTATGTAATGTTGTTTAGTCTCAAACTGAGCAAGCTTGTATTATGGGTACTAATTATCTGATATATGTATTAAAAATATTTTTCTATGTTTTTACTTATTGCATGACAAAGATCGTTATACTTACTTCATAATTAGGACAATTTTTTAACGTTTGTGCGCAAAACTTTATCACAATATCACGTCAGTGAAGGAGATGAGACAACTCTTCATATTTTGAAAATACTTAATCGTTAAAAAAACAATACAAGCATTTTGATGAACAACAAATTTTGACTACGAATTAATAGCGATGCACGCCGTAGATTTAAAATATTTTACTGCGTTTGATGAAGCTTTAATAGTCTTAACATCAGTTATATAAAAAAATATTTTCTTTTGTTGACTGTACTTTTTTTGAAGAAATTTCCCAATCTTTACTAGTATAAATGTTTTTATAGTGAAAATAACAACTTATAAGTGTATTTGATTATAAAATAGAAAGACTGCAATGATATTTTTGATTTGTAACGTAAAATTAATGCATAACGAATTTAATTACTACACTATTTGATTCTGTCAACAGTAGTGGGTGAAATGTTCATATAGTGCTACAACAACAAGTAAAAATTCTACAAATACAGATGGAGTAGTTGTGGCAGATAGAAAACAAATGGAAGTTTCTATTCGTTTGTTTTACACTCGCTTGTCATAGATACGGATTGCTTATTTAGGCTACAACTGTTCAGTTGGCGGTATCCGCCGAGTAAATTTATCGCTGACAGGTATGATCAAGATTAAATTATGAACGATGATCATATATGCACTCCATGCGCAAACAATACGATGACGGTTGGCACCGATTTTGGGTATAGTTATAATTATGCAAATTTCTGGTGTACTAGTTTACTGTTCGCATTGTTTACTATTGGAAATAACTGCAGTATGTTGGGGGCTACGTCTGAGGTCTTTCCCTTTAACGCTCGTCATCAAAAGTTTCATTTACCACACATCCATCGTTAAATTGTGATATGTGATATTAAATATTAAACGAGTTATTAATAAGACTACACTTGTCAAGGATACGATTTTAATGTTAGTGTAACTGACGTCACGATTTTGTGACGATGTTTTGGAGTTGAGCTTTAACTAAAACGACAGAATCGATCGATATAGGAATAGCTGAGTGTATGTGTATAAAAAAAAATACATAAAACACCCATCCAAATCTGTCGCTTTTTACTATGAAAACTGTAAGTATTCTAAGTAAGTAAGTGTTCTAGGCGACAATTTGAAGCTATAAGTTATTAGTTAGGACGATAATTTGTGGCTATGGTAATTAACATTTGAAGCCGATTATATAATAGTCAAATTGTTCAAAGTGAATTAAAATATATTCCATGATAACAAAACTCATCCATAAAATCTATTTAATACATAAACAATTTTCATAGATGCATAATGGTATGTTCCGAATAGTGTTTTATCTGCAACATATCCTTCAGTAGCGGTGAGGCACGTCTTAATTTCATCGCATAACAAAATTCCAAGCATCAAAATTATTTGCAACGGAATCATCTTCAAAGGAATTGTAATAAATAATAAGATAAAGGCAAATATATCAACGAGTCTGTTAATAACCCGTACTTGACATCGGAAAAAACATGTTTGTGTGTAATTTTTGAACGTGTCGACATAAAGTTCATTCACTTAGCATATTAATTACTATAAGGAAGTGTGTTATGTACGCACAGCTTTAGAATAAATTATAATTCTAGGTCGTTTATAAGCGTCTGTAGTAGGCAATATCCGTAACGTTTTGCGAATTAACTTATTTACATTAGACGATATTTCTTTAAAACACAATGAGTATTTTAATAATTCATTGGATAACTTTATGTAACGGGACTAATCAGAATCTGGTAATGATAATAACTAATTGTCTTTTTTTCAAATTATCATACCGATCGCTGGATAAGGTCGGCAAATAAATTTATGCAAATTGTATTATAATTCATTTATATAACACAATGATATAATGGAGCAGTATTTTTGCATCATTTGTGTATAAACGTATCATATAATATAACTACGCGTAATACTACTTACACCAATTTTTTTTTATTTATGTATTTAGTTGGTAAGCCTGTTTAAATTTCCCACCACTGAGAAAAGCCCTTCTCTGTATCACTTGGATTGGTAGACTTCACATAGTTTGCTATACTCTGGCAGTTGTTGTATGTTGAATAGTAAAAAAACGAAATGTATTAAATTTACAACTCCCAACGTAAAAAGTGTAAAAACTGATGTACTTTTACATGGGGAAGCGTTAGACCTCATTGACTCGACTGTATTTCTTGGCATAACCGTAGATGCCAAATTGCAGTGGGGCCCCCATATTAATAAACTGTCGAGTAGACTTAGCTCAGCAGTCTTTGCAGTCAAAAAAATTAGACAGTTGACTGATGTGGATACGGCTCGTCTGGTATATTTTAGCTATTTCCACAGTATAATGTCTTATGGCATTCTACTTTGGGGAAATTCAGCCGACATAAATACTATTTTCATCCTGCAAAAGAGAGCTATTCGAGCGGTTTATAACCTGGGCCCCAAAGACTCACTAAGAAACCTGTTTAAAGAAATAAAAATATTGACTGTAGCTTCTCAGTACATACTTGCTAATGTTATGTATGTCCACAAATGTAAGAATGACTTTTCAAAATTTAGTAATGTGCATGATGTTAATACTAGGAACAAGCATAAATTAGTTCTACCCTCAACTAGATTGCGTAGAATAAGTAAATCTTTTATGGGACAATGTATACGCTTTTACAACAAAATCCCAGAAAACGTTCAAAATGAATCCGTTGCTAAATTCAAAAAACTTGTAAAGGAACGTTTGTGTGTTAATGGCTATCATAGTATTAGTGATTATATGAATGATAACACACTCTGGAAATGAATTGATCGCTCCAGGCTCTTTCAAGTGGAGTTTAATAGGAGTCTAATAATTGTACACATATTTGTAATTTTTTTGGCAAGTAAAAAAAAAAAAAAAATAATGTCCCGCTGAGTTTCTTACGCCGGTTCTTCTCAGGTCAGTGGCTTACCTTCCGAACCGGTGGTAGAGTTTTTTGACTATCAATAAGTAAGTGAATGCTTCTATATTGAATAAAGATATTTGACTTTGACTTTGAAAGTTGCTAAGCTATAGGATCCGGGACTGGGGTCATGGGTTCGATTTTCACACGGCACAAGTATTTACGGGACATACAGATAATTGTTTCGGATCTGGGTGCTTATTCAATGGCGAATGCCATTGACAACATATTTCACGTGTTATGTCGACCCCAAAGGTGGGATAAGAGCAGGAGAAAGAAGAAGAAGAAATTATGACATAAAGATATATGCATATATATAAATTATTTCAGATACATGCAGATGTCTTTACGAAGTTTTTCTTTGGACAGAGCCCCTAATAAATTAGTACTCAAAAATGCAATGAGCATTTTCATTGCCGCGAATGTAGGAAATTAAAAGCCAGCGAGCTCACACATTCCAATATACAATTGATTTCCAATTTCAGCCAATATGCAGGTGATTTAACTTCCAATTTAGAATATCTCCGTTCCACCTATGTAAAAAAACCCATGGCATCTCAAACAACCCACCTCAAACGCTTCAATTAAAGTATTTCCTTTATCTCTTTTTTGATTTGTCTATACATCCTTCTCTGTCCAATTTATCCTCGTTTTGGAATGTACGTCTTTTAGAATTTAGCAAGACACTAATCGTCACACGTTTAACCTCAAAGTTTATCGGTAGGATAATCCCGTCAATTAGGTTACATTTTGTATCTAAATAATTTATTTGATATACGTTACAGTAATATGTGTAGTAGTATTTATAATGTGCTTTATATTGTGTGATATGTCAGTTTTGTTTACATTTTTTAAACATTCTGTTGAGTCAAAGTACAGGAAATTCGATCATTTTTACCCGACTGACGAAGGTGGGCGTTTTTTGAGCGGATGTATATAATGTCTAATTACACCAAGCTTTCCGGACGTTCCACATATTAAACCTTTTGACGTGGCTTAAAGATTTAATCTGTGTAGCCAGAAAAAAA